TAACGGAGAGGTAAGTTAGCTGATGGATACTCTAACGGAGAGGTAGATTAGCTGATTGATACCTAACGGAGAGGTAGATTAGCTGATGGATACCCTAACGGGGGGGTAAGTTAGCTGATTAATACCTAACGGAGAGATAGATTAGCTGATGGAGACCTAACGAAGAGGTAAGTTAGCTTATGGATTCCCTAACGGAGAGCTAAGTTAGCTGATGGACACCCTAACGGAGAGCTAAGTTAGCTGATGGAAACTCTAACGGAGAGGAAGATTAGCTGATGGATAACCTAACGGAGAGGTAAATTAGCTGATGGATACTCTAACGGAGAGCTAAGTTAGCTGATGGTTCCCTAACGGAGATGTAAGTTAGCTGATGGAAACTCTAACGGAGAGGGAGATTAGCTGATTGATACCTTTCGGGGAGGGAGATTAGCTGATGGAGACCTAACGAAGAGGTAAGGTAGCTGATGGATACCAAACGGAGAGGTAAGTGTTAGCTGATGGATACCTAACTGTGAGGTAAGTTAGCTGATTGATACCTATCGGAGAGGTAGGATACTCTAACGGAGATGTAAGTTAGCTGATGGATACCTAACGGAGAGGTAAGTTAGCTTATGGATACCCTAACGGAGAGGTAAGTTAGCTGATGGATACCCTAACGGAGAGCTAAGTTAGCTGATGGATACTCTAACGGAGAGGTAAGTTAGCTGATGGTTACCTAACGGAGATGTAAGTTAGCTGATGGATACCTAATGGAGAGGTAAGTTAACTGATGGATACCTAACGGAGAGATAAGTTACTGGATGGATACCTAACGGAGAGGTAAGTTAGCGAATGGATACCTAACGGAGATGTAAGTTAGCTGATGGATACCTTACGGAGAGGTAAGTTAGCTGATGGATACCTAACGGAGAGATAAGTTAGCTGATGGATACTCTAACGTAGAGGTATATTAATGATTGCGGACTAAATCATTGCAGGTGTCGTGCGTGCAGCAGGAATCGCTTACCATTGCAGGATACCAAAGATTTTATCGTATCTTTGTTATCATACTTACTCACTCGTTAGTTTTATTCGAGTGTTCATTTCTGTCTTTTAATACGCTGACAATATAAATCCAATTTCATGGTAGTTAAGACGGTAAGTTTAGTTCGTGATGCCTTTTTTGTTTGGGTGCATGAGGTATCCTCCCTCGTGATGACTTTGCATCTGTT